AACAGTCCTTGGGGTAACAAAGAGTTGGACACAACTAAATTAGCAAGCACACACACACACAAACAATAAAATACTTTTAAACACAAACCCCTAATTTGTGTTTATTTATAAATTCTACATACTTCTGTACTAATACATATATAAGCTTTAAAACATACTTGAGAATTGAAATTGCAAATGATGACATAAAAGCAAATATGAATTCTCATTCTACTGTTTCCTCCTCACATTCCAGAGAATTGTCTTGTGTACCCCTCGAGAAGCACTATTGCACACCTAGTTGCAGACCTTTGGCTAAGGTAGCTATGTAAAAACATTGACTTTGCTAGGCAGATAGGCCTCTAGCCAGCTGAAAAGTAATTTAAGTGCTTTTCAAGACATTAAATATTTTTTAAAACATTTCCAAAACCTAACTTGTTGCCTAGAGTATAATAGTTGCACAAGAAATGTCTGACTGTTGACTGGGCAATGAAGCTCAGGTAGTCCATTAGAATGCTTTATAAACTCTTTTAATTAGTTCATTTCATTCACTTAGCTCATGTCAGATATCTTTTACAATGTGTTTACATATCATCACATCATCGTGAATGTGTACATCACCAGGCAGGAATGGTTGTAAGGCACCATTGGAATGCACAATTGTTGTAAGGCACATTGGGATTTCAGTGGCTTTGAGTCAGGGCTAGGGTATTTAATTCCAGTAGAAGGCCAGTCCCCAGGGAACCAGGATGTATCAGGATGACTATAGTATGTGTGCTAAGTTGCTTCAGCCATGACTGACACTGTGTGACCTTCTGGACTGTAGCCCGCCAGGCTCTTCTGTCCATGGGACTCTCCAGGCAAGAATACTGGAGTGAATTGCCATGACCTCCTCCAGGGGATCTTCCCAACCCAAGGGTCGAACCCATGTCTCTTAAATCTCCTGCATTGGCTGGCAGGTTCCTTACCACTAGCACCACCTGGGAAGCCCATGACTATAGTATGAGACACGATAAAATCTGTTTAATAAAGACATTATGTGATACTCCCTGAGGCATTTGGGCTGGTAGAGGGGCACAGGCAGTAATAGTACTAAATGATGATTCTCAAAGCTCATCAGGTAACACTCTTGTGGCATTGGGAAGGGGGTGGGGAGTGGGGGAGGGGCTAGTAAGGACCCATTTGGATTGACTTTCAGGGCTTAGCTGTGTTTTAGGCCTTCTGTTCTTACACAGCACGCTTACCTTGGGTGCTTACAACCTTCTTGCTGGTAAAGTACCATCTGTGTGCTTGTATTCCAGACACCTATCCAGCAGCCTCCTGCATGGTTCCAATTAGCCATTTCACAGGTTTCTCAGACACTACATCATCTACATGACTAATTTAGCAGCTTTTCCTCCAAACATGCTTCTCCCAAATGTTTCCATCTCTGTAGGTAATATTGCCCCCCATCCACCAAGGTGCAGAAAACTGCAAGTTACTCTTGATTCCTTTAGTTTCTGTATCCTTTATCTCAGCCTTTTTGGGCTCCATTCCTACTGCTATCATCATCCCTCATATCTAACTTGGACTTCTGAGCCACAATCTCAGTGCCTCCAAATCATTTTACTTATTATTCCTGAGTGGCTTTTATACAAGAAATTTGGAAAGTATGTCCTCCTTTTTCGAAGTTGATTAAGACCTCTGTTCTTCTCTTCAGCTCCATCCCCCATTTCTCTCCCTTGCATTGGGTTATCCTCTTCCATTGAACTTTTTCGGGTTTTCAGTAATGCTAGGGTGTCCTCATACCTCTGCACTTCCGTACATACTGCCTGGAGCAATCGTTTCTCTTGTTGGTTTCTTCTGGTAGCAGCAGAGACATACCTTTTCCAGAACTGTTTTCCTGATCCTAGACTATTGTATTTCCCTGCAAAGAAGTACTACCATGGTATTCCAGATGGTCCCCATCAGCAGCCATTGTTAAGTGGTCGTATATCCATATTTCCTTCTAGACTGTGAGCTTCATTGAAGGCAGTGGTCACATTGCTTGTCTTCACCCATGACAGTGTCCCCCCCCCCCCCCATACATATTACTGAATAAAAGAATGAGAGGATAAGGGCACTGCAGTGCTCATTGGAACTAAGCTAAATAGTGAGACAGATGTCTGAACAAATATAGCGAGGGACTGGGTAAATGGACAGTCTGATGAGCACTGAGGAGTCCACACTCAGTTCCTGGATGTCAAACACAAGGTTTCTGGAGGGAGACCTGAGTTTACCTAAGGACACAAGATAGACTTTCAGTTAGACAGACTTGAACTGTAAGTTCTAACAGTGTAAGCCTGGCAAGGTACTGAAAAGGCTGTTGTGAGTCTTTGGGATAGTTTGTGTATAGACTATACACGTATACCAGGCATGGTTACCTGTTATTTTGATGTGGCTTTTGTGACATAGTCATTACGCCAAGTTCAACATTACTCGTTAAAATGCTTCTGCTGAATAATGATAATAGTACTTTGAGTATTTTCCTCATATCTGATAATCTCTGAAAATTATTTTATTTAGTCCTTATGGGACCTGTGATGAGGTACTTTTTTTTCTTTTCATTTATTTTTATTAGTTGGAGGCTAATTACTTTACAATATTATAGTGGTTTTTGCTATACATTGACATGAATCAGCCATGGATTTACACGTGTTCCCCATCCCGATCCCCCCTCCCGCCTCCCTCTCCATCACATCCCTCTGGGTCTTCACAGTGCACCAGCCCTGAGCACTTGTCTCATGCATCCAACCTGGGCTGGTGATCTGTTTCACCCTTGATAGTATATTTGTTTCAATGCTGTTCTCTCAGAACATCCCACCCTCATCTTCTCCCACAGAATCCAAAAGTCTGTTCTGTACATCTGTGTCTCTTTTTCTGTTTTGCATATAGGGTTGTCGTTACCATCTGTTTAAATTCCATATATATGTGTTACTATATTGTATTGGTCTTTATCTTTCTGGCTTACTTTACTTTGTATAATGGGCTCCAGTTTCATCCATCTCATTAGAACTGATTCAAATGAATTCTTTTTTTGGCTGAGTAATATTCCATGGTGTATATGTACCATAGTGAAGAGGTACTCTTATCATTCTCATTTATAAGGCAACCAAGGCATAGAGAGGTTGACTGACTTACTCAAAGTCTTACTGAGCAAGATACAGTATTTGACTGTTTTGGTGATTCTACCACACAGACTCTCCTTTGTTCCTAATATTTTTATTTGAATTTCTTTCCCATTAAAGAGTAACGTGTTTAAATTTAATTCAAGGAGTTTTTATTGAAACACCTACAGTGTGTGCAACATTAAATACTGTGTGAAATTAAATTAACAAATATTTATCACTATGGTTTTCTAGAAGAGTGGTATAATTTCTTAAGTATTCATGGAGTTTAACACCTTAATGAGGGTATTTTTTAAAAGTCAGAGAAATATATAAAATAAGGATAGAATAGAATCTAGATACAAAGTTTCCTCAGTGTTTGCTTTCTAATAGTAATGCAGTTGCCCTCAGAATTGATCTGTTTTCATCAAGTGGATTTCAAGCAGTCCAGGCCCCCAGACAAATTTTCAGAGAGTTAAGGCACTTTTACATACAGCATTCCTGAAATCTCTAAACTTAAAAAAAAAAAAAAAGCATTTATTAGTCATAGGTTATTGGGCAGAATGTCATCCGCCTTTTGGGGCAGAATATGGTCTCAATAACTGTCATCAGAAATTTCAAAGACAGTTTTTCAGGTTTAGTTGAAAGTAAGTTTGGCTATACTGATTGTTTATAGGCAAGAAATATGTCTTCTTAATCAATTGGAACCAATTCCAGTTGGTTTCTTGAAGAGATGAAATTCCTGGGATATTATTGCTACCCGTAGAAGGAAGATGTGTCTAATGTACATCTTCTCCAATTTTGATAACATTACTGTAAATTACCCTTGTCCTAAAGAGTTAGGGAATGAGTTTATTCTAGCTTTCTACAAATTTTGCATTTTTCTCTCAGTGAATAGAGCAAAAGTTATCTGAAGTACTCTGTATCTGCAAATTATTTTATAGATGTTATTCTTGGCTTATCAGATTAAACTGCAATCAGAACATCTCCTTTGTAAATGGAGGTTGTCAGCTTTTTACTTCCGACCACAAGTTTATCTCCCCACAGAAGTCATCTGTGGAGGAGATATTTGCCCTGATACAGCCGGGGCTTGAGACCAGGGCCAGGGCATCCTCAAGGGTGTCACCCTTTTCCTGGATGCCTCTTGAGTCTTCCTGCAGCTGCAACAGGTTTTTCCTGTCTGGGATCCTGTTTGACCAACATAAACAAAGAACTGAAAAACAGAATAAAGACTTCTTTAGAGCCAGAGATGAAGAGATTAACTGCTCTGCTAGGGGTCAGGGTTTCAAAACTACTCTTTCTGTATTCTGTCAGGAAAGTGATACTTTTTCATTTTGTATTGTCCACCCTGAAGGCTTCTACTTCCTTCAAGGCATTCCCATAATGTCAGTGGGTCTGGGGCAGGGGTGGGGAGAGGGATGGGGTGGCTCTCTGAGTGGGGGGCACTCGGGCAGCCAGGGAATAGCCAACTGCCTCCTTCCCCCGGGAGGACACTCCCACCCCACCCCGCCCCGCGCCAGCCCGGTCGGGCTTTGGCCTCCTGACCCAGACAGAGCCCGCGCGAGGCACCGGGAGGCCGAGCCCGGGTCGCACCGCCCCCAGCCTCGGGGCAGAGAGCCAAGAGTTCGAGGCCTCTCTGATCCGGATATGATGAAAAGGCGCCACAGAGCGAGAAGCGTTTCTGGAGTGCAGGAGTGGTGGAAGGGGGAAAGAGAGGCAGAGGGGCAAGAGTTCCCTCGGAGGGGAACCGGCCGGGCTGAGCTGACGGGAAAGAGGGGGCGGAGAGCGCGGAGCCAGAGGAGCGGCGGCTGCCGTTGCCGCCACTGAGGTGTCCGCTGAGCGGGACGCAGGCTGGGAGGGCCACCCAGAGGCGGCTGCCGCCGTCCAGCCACCGCGACCTGCGGCCCCTGCCGGAGCCTCGCTAACTTTCCGAGGCGGAAGAGGAGGAGGAGGAAAGGGCTTTGAGTGTGTTGGGGGATGCCGAGGTAGGTGGCGGTGCTCTCGGCGGGAGGAGGAGGGGTCTGCTCCCCTCCCCGAGCTGTTCCCAAATCCCATCTCCCTTCTGGCGCCTCCCCCTGAGGGCCCCCTTCTGTCCGCTAGGACTGGCTGCTGTCAACTTGCTAGGTAACAGTTTTCCTCCCGGGTTTCAAATCAAAACTTCCCCGGGGTGGGGTTTAGGGAAGGGAAGCCGAGAGGGAGGGAATGTCCCGCTGGGGTGGTGTGTGCTCTTCTCTCAAAACACTTTTTTTTTTTTCCCCCTAATCCTCGCCAGAAGCATTCAGTTCCCTGCACCCAACACCTCCCAGCCCCTGGTGCATCGACCCCGAAGGGCGGCGAGCTAGGCGGAGGCGCGGCGCGGGCTCAGCGGAGCGGCCCATGTCCGGCGCAGGGGAAGCCCTGGCTCCCGGGCCCCAGCGCGGGGCTGAGGCTGGCGGTGGCCGGCTGGGCGCCCCAGCCCAGGGTGAGTGCCGCTTGCAAGTTGCAAGCTCCTTTGTCACTGTTGCATTTTAAAATGTGTTCGCACATTTACTGCTTGGAATCTGTGTGTGGGGAATTGGTGCAAGGACTGAGCCTACCTCGTCGTAGAGAACTTTTGCATAGTTAGCATTATTCAAGCAAGTTCTCCAGGATCGCAGCCTCAGATCAACAACCGGATAAGAGGGCGGGATCCGCTGATCTCTCCACTCCCCCTTCCTTTGGCTGCCGAGAAACTGGATGACAGGATCACTTTTTTCTTAAACATATGCATTTCAGGGCCTAAGACCCAACAGTGCGGGCTCCGAAGCCTTCCCCACCACTTAAGTTCTGTGTCTTCAGCAGATGCAGGACTGCCGCTGCTTTTTGAGAAACCTGCACTCTCCCTTCCTCTTTCTATTTCTTGTGGGCGCCTCTGCAGCTTTGATAATCCAGGTTTCTGTGACCAATTGCTTTGGAATGGCTCATGCACATGCTTTCAGTAACTTTTTGTTTTGAAATAAACAGGTTTCAAAAGAAATGCTTTCCAAGAATGAATTAGCTCTTTGTGTTCATCCAAGTTGTAAACAAATACAGTCTGTTAAAAAAAAAAAAGTACTCCTGTTCCTGGGAAACTTCCATAAGAAGCTTATACACATGTCAGACAGGATCTTCTCTTGAAGGTAACATACATCAGGTTTTCATTGGTGACAGAGAGAAAGGATCTTAATCTGATGTATCTTCCTCTTAGTGTGACTCTGCTTTAAAGGGTTCTGACTCATATAAACTAAATAATTTTCCAAGGTTCAGAAACCTATTTTTAAATCTTGATTTCAAGCCTGATATCCCCCAGCCCCCCATCCTTAAGAATAATGTCATGAGCCTCTTGGGATTCTTTTTGTTAAAGCACTAAAAAGTGGAAGAGAAGTTAATGTTGAACCCACAGTAGGTAAAAGCAGAAAACATCCATGACTAAATTAAAATGTCCTGGCATTCAAAGGCTGTTAAATTGAATTATGTTTATCGTTGTTTTTTTGCTTCTAAACAGTGAGTCATTTTTTCTAGAGAAAATCAGAAAATCAGAACCAGAATGATAAACACATTTTCCCAGAAGCAGCCCATGTTCGGAACATTATATTGCCAAGGCAATTGTTTTCTTGTCATTAGGCATGTCCTCAGTAGTCATATGGGCTCCTTGATGGGTTGTTCAGGTTCACACTTGAGCTGTTAATCACTGGTGTTAACAAATGCTTATATCAAAAATCAAGCTCACACACACTAGAAAAACAGTTGACTTAGAACTAGCGATATCTGCAATGTCCAACTTTAAAAATACACATTTTAAAGTCAGCAGAAGTTGCAGTGATGCCTAATCCACCTGTGCAGATGTAATGCTGTAAGGTATCACATGATATGTTTTTAGGAAGCGAACCTCTAGAATGTTCTGAAGAAAACTGTGGACTGCATGTAACACATTATCAGTGTGGAAACTCTTGGGATATGTTTTACCTGAAAATTGACTCAGCCTCAGCAGCAATTTTGTTTGTTTGTTTAGTTTTTTAAATTAGTTTACTTTGACTTGCTGCATCCTTTAAATAGGCATCAATTTCATTGTGAATGTAATATAAAGTTAAGTTTTTTACAAAAGAAAATCTTCAGAATCTTGTTAAAAGGTTGTATCTCAAACAAACAGATCTCATAAGGAAAAAAGTTTTGGATCAAGTGGGCAGGGAGCTTGTATGTAGCTGCCATGGTTAGGGTGGTTTTGTTGGTAAAGATGCTAGTGAAGAACCTTCGCCTGCAGGCCACACTTCTCTGAACTCTTTCTCGAGTTCTTTCATCCTTGTCCTTCTATCCTTGGATTCTTGATCATCTTTTCAGAAGAATAATTGAATAATACTCTGGTAAGATATGGCTGCTTAGTTAATAGAAACCTAATTTTAAAACTTTGTATATTAAAATCAGTGAGAAAAATGGAATGTTCTATGAAAGTTAGTAGAAAATGTCTTTTCATGAAGGAGAAGGATAAAATCAAGTCTTTCCCTGCAAACAAAATTAAATTTATATGTATGTTAATATGCATATGCATATATGTGTGTGTTAATATGCATATATATGTGTGTGTATGTAAAGACATGTAACCTGTACATGTATTACTGTGTTGTGATGAGCTATGTGTACTAACTAACTGAAGGCATAAAAAGTTAAAATTGAAAGTAAATTTGGGGGGTCTCTAGTCTGAACTCCCCATCTAGTCTAGAATTTCTTTCTACCTTTTTTCAGGTGGTTAAATGCCTACAGTGTAGCACATTCTGCTTATCAGCATTCATATTGATAGTTATGAAAGTTTTTCATGTTGAGAGCAAGACCGCTCTCTTTACAACTTCTCCCCTTTGGCTGTGATTCTTCTCCAAGCACAGTTCTGTTGCTCTGAAAGCATTAAAAATCTTATTTGTGCATTTTGAAAATTGTTACGGACCAGGATATAAGCTCATATGCCCCATGCTGTCAGAAGGACCCGGGATGGGGGTGGGAAGATAGGGAGCAGTAGGGACTGAGGACCCCTGGAGAGCTCTGGGCCCAGGAGGCAGTGCTTCTTGGTCCAGCTCACTGTTGCTACTTGGGTTTAATATCTTCCAGTATTTCAAGAGATACTGGAAATATGGATTTTTATGTATCATCACTCCCTTTTAAAAGTTGGCAGCTAATTAAATCCAATTTTTATCCAGGCCAAACAAAACAACCACACCTGCAGGCTGGAAATGGCTCCAAAGCAGCTGATTTGTGATTTCTGTTATAGAAACTAGAGAGTAAATGTGTGATTTAAAAACTATTTCCCTATTTATGGTGAACTTCTGAAAGACTGACTTGATTGTCCTTCTCACACAGAATACCTGTATAAGTGTCTTGATAAGTGAATGGTAGTTTGGGCCAAACTTCTTTTTGTTTTAAAAGAGAATGGATCTTGTATGTATGGTTCATCTAATTGTCATTTTTTTCTTTTTTGGGTCAAGCATCTTAAAATTCATTGCGCTATCAACCTTGGTAGACGTTTGCTTTTATGTGCAGTTACTAGAATCTATATGATTAAAAGAGCCTTTTAATTAAATGCTTCCATGTTTGCTACTTGTAACTAGAAGGATCTTTAGAAATAGCTTAGTTCAGTTGGCTCACTTTCTAGAAGGGATGTCCAAAGAGCTTAAGTGACTTGTCCAGGGTCTCATACATAGTCAGTAGAATCCAGGATGGAAGCACAAATTGTAAAATATATGTCATTGTGATAAATGTGGATTAAGGTAGAGAATCAATAGAACTTTCTTCCTATAGATGGGTGAATGGAAAATAATCAGCTTTGGATACTGTGAATCACTTTGCCTGTTCTGGTCCTTGCATCCCCCTCCCTCCCCCATTGCATTTGTCAAGATTTAGACTGTTGGACTGTGTGCTGGAATATTCTTTAATGTGATAATGTGTGATTTAATGCACTCTTCTCTCTTGGGAGAGTCCTCTGAGACTATTAGGCGGACTTTTCATAGCAGGATGCAAAATGCCAGTAAAGTTAATTAAAAATAATTTAAAATAGAAGCTAGGGAGAAAATCTTCAAGTTGAAATTACATAAGAAGAGCTTTGACTTAGAAGCTTAGCTGACTTGTCAGGAATTTATAGTGGCTAATCAGATTTCCTTTATGGGAAGCCTGTATATTTCAATTTATACCACGTATGCTCATAATATCCATATTCTTTGACGTTTACCATATCATTTTATCCTTTAAGAATGGCATTTCTCAGAGTGTGTCATCTTTGGGCAACTTCTGTCTCTGGTCCTCAATCAGGGATGAAGTGCCTTGCAGGAAACATTTGGCATCTTCTGGAAACATGTTTGGTGGGGTGGGGTGGATGCTCCTGGGATGCAGTGGGTAGAGGCCAGGGAGAATACTATACACATCTTACAATGCACACAGTATGGTAGCCCCTCACAACGAAGAATTATCTGGCCTGGAATAACGATGGTGTTGAGATGCTATTTTAGCCTCTCAAGGCTACTGACACCTTTGGCTCCACTCTAGAGTTACAGAATCAGAATCTGGAGAGTAAGACTCAAGAATCTGCCTTTTTGACAATCTCCAGGTGCTCATTATCTCTAGTTGAGAATCATTGTTTTTAGAGGCTTTTGATTTTTAAAAAGTCTTTTTCTTTCTTATAGAAAGCCTTAAAAAAATCTTGAGAAACATCTCCCTTTCAAGTTCCAAACTTTAAATCATATCACTCCATGTGTACTGTCTCTTAGAGCTTGCCAGCATTTTTATCCCATATCCCAATTAGTGATCTGAACTGAACTGAGGCCTGAGTCTTCATCCTCAAAAAAGTTTCCTGTCAAGATTATGTATACAATTGTACAAATATATGTGAATATTAAAAAAGAAATATATAAACACACTTTGAAAAGAATGAGATAAAAATAAGTCAATAAATAGATCTTTTAATTCTTTGTTCTACCACCTCAGTAGATATTTTTGTCCCGTCATCCTGGACTTCTCTCTAGGGATCTCAGCATTTTTATGGCATAATAAGGAAAGAAGTCCCTCATTTTCACATGATCTGTATTCACTTGTAAGTTGGATTTTTGAAATCTGGATTATCCTTTATCATAGAAACAGAATGATAAATTATGTTTAGCTCAATAATCTCAAAAAGATGGTTGAGACTTTTACTAAATGTTATTGATAAATTATAGGGAACACACTCTTAATGATACTGGCAACCACATACAGGTAATTAAGAAAAAGGTGAGTGAAACATTTTCAGTACAGGTGCTTGAGAGCATAGGCTTAACTGGAAAACTATAATAAACCTTGTCTAGATTTGGAAGAGGATTTGGGGGCATTTCAAGCGGTGTAGACCTTATGCTCCAAATCCTTTTTCGCTTAAAGGAATTAATGTTCATTTTGTAAGTTTAGAGAAATGCAAGCCTTATCAGCTTGACAGAGTCATGTTCCCTCTGCTAA